AATTTTGAAAAATCTATTAATATTAAATACTTATATGGATGGCATTTTCATTTTTACATCAAATAAGCATCAAACCCGCCTATTATGCATACAACTATTGAATGCATGATAAAACATTAATCAATTTTATTGTTTTCCAAGCTTGTCTAATGTTGGTAATAAATTTTAGAGAGATTCACAAAAAAACAGTTTTATAAAACCGGTATAATGAAGACAGTAATGATAATAATATGTTTTTTCTATAATATGCTATATATATAAAATATATATATATATATATATATATATATATAAATAACTTGGCTGTCCTGCAGGGTTGACCATGGTACTGGTCCATTGATGGTCCGTTGGGTCCATTGAAGTAACATTTCAACCATATTTAGTAGTTGTCTCAATGGACCCTGCTGTCCTGTATATAATCATTAGGTATCACAAATACGGGTAAAAATTTCTTTAAAAATTTTTTAAAAAAAAAAATGAAACGCGACAACTCCCACTTAAAAAATTTTTTTATACAAGAAAACTGGTCTTATGACCATTTTAAAAATTTTTTATCTCTACTAAATTACAAAGAAGAAGACATATTGGCGCACTATATTAGAGAGTTGAAAAAAATAGAAGAAGAGAAGCGGTGGAGAGGAAGGAGAAGGCAGGGGCTTTGTTGAAGAAGCATTATCAGGTACATTTGTTATATATTATTCATAAAAACATCCTACTCATTTAATGATGAATTAGGCTAGTTAAATAAATAGCAATGATGATGATGATATTTATTACCGAATTACTAGCATTATTAAAAAAAAATAAAAATAAAAAAAAATAAAAATAAAAAAAAATAAAAATAAAAAATAAAAATAAAAAATAAAAATAAAAAATAAATAAAAATAAAAAAAAAATAAAAAAAAAAAAATAATTTAAACATTTAGAATTATCATTTGTATTGATCTTTTATATGTATTCTAAATGTTAAAAAATAAATAAAAATAAAAATAAAAATAAAAATAAAAAAAAAATATATAAAAATAAAGATAAAAATAAAGAATAAAAATAAAAAATAAAAAAATTAAAAAAAAATTAAAATGCTAGTAGTTCTCCTTTACGGTTCATTTTTCTACATTATTTTGGGTAATGTAGTGTAAATGGATTAAGAATTGTTCCTCATTACTTGTTAATGTGGTGTCAATTTTATTATGGTTCTTATTACGGTTCATTTTTCTACATTATTTTGGGTAGTGTAGTGTAAATGGATTAAGAATTGTTCCTCATTACTTGTTAATGTGGTGTCAATTTTATTGTGGTTTTTATTACGGTTCATTTTTCTACATTATTTTGGGTAATGTAGTGTAAATGGATTAAGAATTGTTCCTCATTATTTATTAATGTGGTGTCAATTTTTTCATTCTGAGTCATTGCTTTTCAAATAAGAATTTATAGCAATATGCTGAATTGAGATCATAAATATAATTTTTTTTAAAAAAAAAAAAAAAACAAAATAACATTATTTGATTTTATTTAACAATAGGAGAAAAGGTTAAAAAAGAAGAAAAAGCTATCATCATCGTCACCACCAAAGCCATCATTATCATCATTTCCGCCACCACCATCATCATCATCATTACCACCACCAAAATCATCATTTCCACCACCACCACCATCATCACTACCACCACCACCATCATTATTATCATCACTGCCACTGTCATTACCAAAACTACTACCATCATCATTATTATCATCATCATCACCACCAAACCCATCGTCATCAACTACCACTATTTCATCTCAAACATTCTTTACTTGGCCCGAATCTGATGATATGGATATAACAATGGATTACAATGATGATAATAATGATAATAATAATAATAATAATAATAATTTTAATGATGATAATAATAACAATAATAATAATACTAATACTAATAATAATAATAATAATAGAGAATTGTTATTTCCTTATAGAAAAATAGCAAAACCTGTCAGTAGGCTTAAGAAAAAACAATAAATTTAATAAAATAATTTTATACATTTAATTCACTTAATTCTCAACATCACTCCCAATTGAAAAAGAATGTCCATATTTGAATAGTCAATTCATGGTATTGTCACCAATTATTGTTTGGGGGAGCGTGATAACAATATAAAATTTATGATTATGAATTGGCTACTAACAAATTAGTTTTATTAGCAATAATTTTGGTTTAGTGAATTAAGAAAAACGTTTTATTTAGTTGAAACTAATTTATTAACTTAGAAATAAGTTAACTTTTAAAACTTTATTAGAATGTTAAGGTTATTTTACAAGCAAGTTGAATTTGAGCTTCTTTTATACAATTAAATTAATTAGTAACAACTTCATTGCAATCTAACATTCTAGCCGCGATATTGCACTTTAATTGCAACATAACACTTAAGCATCCATACAAACAATTTGTTAATTATCATATCACAAAGTAAACTATCTAATCTCTAATAAATATTTGTAAATAATTAACATTCGCAATTCCTAAAAAAAAAAAAAAAAAAAAAAAAAAAAAAAAAAAAAAAAAAAAAAAAAAATAAAAAAAAAAAAAAAAAAAAAAAAAAAATAAAAAAAATAAAAATAAAAATAATAATAAAAATAATAATAATAATAATAATAATAATAATAATAACAAATGATTCGAATAAACAAACAATAATAATTCGAATAATAAGAGAATTTTGTATGGGAGTTTTTTGAATAGAAATGAACCATGTTTTGAAATGACATTTTGAGAAATAACTGTATTTTATTTAAAATTCCACAGGCATATAAAACTTGTATCAATTCAAAATTTCCTTTTCGGGAGCACAGTTCAATTTCCTTTATTTATACATTGTGCATCCACTAATATGCATTAAAATGGAAGAAGCACTTAACACAATAATCACGATATATGAATGAACACCTCTATTTCTTAATAAGATATTTTGTTTTTATTTTTAAGACCAAAATGAAATAACATTATTCCAAGAAAAAAATTATTATAAATTGAACTACTGATTTATTAGAGTAATATGCTATATACTAATTGGAAATGGCGTTCTTAATCCTAGATAGGATAATTGGGCAATTAAAAAATACACATATTGTTATAACTTTGGAAGTTATATAAAGCTCTTGCCAAAGTTTTCTTCGACCTTCAATGAAAAGATTGGCACAAAATTAACTCCTCATTTTTTAGAATTCCAAATATCGGCCTCGAATTATGGTTTTGTTTTATTTAGATAAAACGGTTCATTGACCATTTGGTTTAGAAAAAATACTGTTGCAGAGAAAGTGAGTTGAAAATATCAAACCATATTTACATAATAAAAACATAATTATATTGGCATATTCCCCATATAAAATCCCTGATTGTGTGTATGCATTTAATTATTGCAATTTATAAATATTCTAAAGAAATCACCGCATGCAGACAATTTTCGAAGGTCAGTCAGTCTTTTAACTTGGGGAGATAAATATATATCCCCCGAAACAAAAAGGGATTGGCGCAAAAAATTTGTAATTAATATTAATTAACGTTGAAAGGGTTTTTTGTTGAGCTGTAATTCATCCCTATGACACTTAAAATAAATTCAAGCAGAATTTAATATCTTATCGATTCTTATTTAAATTACGCTTAAATATTTCCATTTTAAATATATATTTTTAAAATTAATGCAGTGCTCTATTGTTGTTATTGTTGTTTGTTATTATCAAACAAATATTCATATACAAGGAAGAAATTACATGTTGATATTGTGAGGACGGAAAGCGGCTAGCTCACAAGGAAGCAATAATATTGGTCAAACTTTCTGATAGGACATTTTATTTAATTCTTTTTATTTTTACTTAATTAATCCTAAAAAATCATTACAAAAATTAAGTCACTTTTGACTAAGCGAAAAAAATAACAGGTAATCAATTAATATTTCAGAGCCTTGCTAATAAGTAAGGCAGAAATATTTATTTATTATCATTAACTTAATTCACTTTAAAAATAATTCATAAATAATAACAAATAAGTAAATTCATTATTTCACTTATAAAAACACTTTCGTAGTTGGAAACTAAATAGTAGGGCTTAATTGTCCAGTTAGTTATCAGAGTGACATAGAACTCTGAGGTTTTGTTTATTTGCTTTGGTATAAATCAAAGGTTTTGACATTGGTTAACCAGTGTAGTATTAACAATGGGTTGTATAGAAAACCTTCAGTTTCTTTAATGTCAACTGCATTTATTCTGTATTATGATATTTCGTCGTTATTCGTAATTAATTCCATCGAACATAGTTTTGTCAACTGTAATTAATTTCGTCACTCATAATTAGTCGCTTGTAATAGTAATTAATTTTGTAATCGCGTTTTTAAAGAGGGAAATAGTAATTAATTGTGATAATTACGAATTACATATTTATGGTAATTAGGTAATTTACCATCCCATGTATAGTGGAATAACATTGAAAATGATATTTCCCATAATTAATTTGCTCA